CCGAGCTGGCTGCACCAGTTCAGAGTTCATCTTTTTCCCTCCGCATTGGAAGGAGAACGGACCTCATGTCTTCAGGTGCGCGCGCGGTTCTAGCCACGCTTGTACTTGGCGGGAAACACCACCGTGTCTCGTGATAGAAGGCGGCGTCGGATGAGCTCGGAAGTAGGATCCAGCCCTAGGTCTAAAACTGGCGTCAGTTTTGTATTTATCGGTTCGGATGTGGAGAAAGCAACTGCGTCGATTTAGCTCATAAATTACTTTATTTATCTAGGCACAACGCTGGAGAACACGACGCGCGCCGATCATCGCAGTCGCATGCGCTGTTCGTCGAGGGGTCTCGCGCGGGAGCGGATTAGAACGGGATCCGACGCGCACGGGACGATCGTACGCAGCCACGGCTGCTGCGTTACTTGATCCAGCGATTATCATAGTCAAAATAAATATAGCCCTTTGATCTTCTCCGCCTGTTTAAAAGTAATACGACACGTGTACATATGTATATATTATTATTATTATTATGCTTCAGATTTTGCACGAATCAAATGTACATAATTTATAAAACACAACAACTTCACGTCGACGCTTCACAGTTGCACATACGAACTGAACGGTGATTTTGCAAAGATCTACTCTCGGGTAAAGTGTCCCGGAGTAAGCTCGGATAACAGACGCGATGACAGAACAGGCTCTCCTGCGGAAACGCTAAATAAACCCTCCGACTCGAACGTTCCTTTCGCTTGGAAAAATACGATCTCGCTTATATACATATATTGGATTTATCATGAATGTGTGTGTGTATATATGTCATCGATTTTTTTACTCTTACAAGTATGTATGTACATTATAATTGCGCGCTCACGCGTTCGCAATAGAAGCTGCGATCTCTTCGGTACTCGCGACGGAAATATCGTTGGGAGGAAAAGCCAAAGAGTCCACGCATCTACGCGTGATTTCGTTCATGAGATACAATTTCTGAATAACACAAGTCGCAGAGCAGCGAAACATCGCTCCCGCTTTGTCTCAGCGAAATACTTGTGTCCCTCTGAACGTCTCGAATATCATGCCTTCAGATATTATGATCGAACGTAATCTTCAATAATTAAAGCCGAAATACGTTCTTACACGAGGATATGCGACGATCCTAGAGTCTCTCGCTCTTTTTGTCTTTCATTCCAATCGACGAACTCAGATTCGCTTGGGATAGTCTACGGAATGTGCTCGTTTTCTCTCTCGAATAAAACGGTCGACGAGACAGCACTTATTTACAGTCACGTGTATTTACATTAATTACAAACATCGTAACGCATAGTAATTCGCTTCGAGAAAAAGGAAAGAAAGAACTATCGTATTATCCGGCCGCCGATAGAGCTCATTCGCAGTCTCGTTTCATGAAAACGTTCAGTCAGGAAGGACAAGCTCAGCGATCGCAACGTCGGTTTTGCGTTACTTTGGCGCGGCGTGTCTTTTCGTCGAATTGGATTCTACAGAAAGGGGACGGAAGAAAGGGAGGAGGACAACGACGGGCGTTCCGCACGCGAGATCCTTCCTCACTCTCGTCGCGACACTTTTCTCCCCCTGGGGGAATAGATATAAAAATCTCGCGCTACAATTATGTATAAATCGACCTTTACGGCTTGCATATCAATTGTATAATTGAGTCAGCTTCTTTTAGCTTGTCTCCATGGCCATTCACGCAACTTCCGGTAAACATATACGCAACACTTTCGACACGTACACGCAGACACGCGAGGAGACAGAAAGAGATAATTTTATATATATATTTATATATATATATAAGGCACAGAATACACACATTATTATATATTAGATATATGTATTACAATTATATTATTTCGAAATGGAAATGTGCTTTGAAATATTTATGTGAATTTACCTGCCTTTTCCTAAAACAATTGCAGACAAAAAGTTGAATTAAATAAACATGAATATTTTCAAGTGCGATTTAAAATGAGATTATATAATTGTAATAGATATATGTACATATACATACATATAATACGAGCGATAAATATATACACGCGCGCGGTTGCACAGCCCCGATAAATTAAGAGAGAAGGCGAGGAGGTAAAAGGAACTTATACGATGTAAGTCGAACTCCACACTTTACAGAAAACGTTATCAGCGACGTATAGACTGAATGCGTCACATTTACACAGTGTATATACATTACCTATACATATATTAATGTTCTGAGAATATTAATTAACTTTTCAATATAACTTCTGGCTTTAAACAGAAGTGATATAAATGAAAATACATTATGTACATATTTTTGAAGCAACACATTTCTCACCTACATGTAAATTTGATTAATATTTTTGCATGTAAATTATACCGTGAATTATATTCCTTGGAAAAGTTAATTAACATCCTCGATGACAACCATTATTCATTATTTATACGAGGAATCGCCCAATATGCGGTTTCAAGGATGCCTTTTACAGCGGACGAAGCACGATTACAGGATTATTAATTACTTTGTGCCCTAATATTATCACAAAAAAATGAGTCAGCATCCCTGCTCCGATTACAATCATTCTAACTAATCGTTCTCGACGTATTACACACTGACTCGACTCTATTCTCGTTCAAGTCTTAATAATTACGAAAGATCATATGTACATTCGCTGGTCATATTATTCGGGATGATGATAGAAAAGTATATGGTTTGCATTATGCGTTTATGATCCGTATTATATAATATCATTTTGCTACAAGAAATCCTGCTGTATCGTATGCATGTTATGCCAGTATAATCATCATGATTTTGAAGAAGAGTCGAATGTCTGAACGAACGAATGAGTTCAATGTTTTACATGGCAGCGCTGTTAATTTTTTTTTTACGATGTTGCAAGGAATATCTGACAATTCTTAATTGATTGACTAAATCGATAGAAAGCTCAGAAAAACTTTCGAAAGTTTTCTAAGCATTCTTCGAAGCTATACTATTCGCGCTTTTAAGCGGCGATTTATATTATAGAATCTTTCTTACGGAACGTATTGTTTTCGGATACGGTTATATTTTTAGACAGGCGTCTGTGTGTGCAAGTATAAAGCAATATTGTAGATAGACAAAACATATCACTTAAAGTACTTAAAATTAGAAAATACTACATTCGTTCGTGCGATCGCCGAAACTCAGTGGCCGTATTATATATTTTTTTTCTTTTATGTATAAGAACGAATTATATTTATCTAAGACTTTCCTTGTTCCTTCTTCTTCGATATACATACGGCGTCGCTTCTTATATAAATGCGACGAACAAACTGCGTCGACTGAACTACTTAATCGTTCGCAATCCGATCCGATCCGATCACATTCCGCTGTTCTGTTTCCTTTGTTCGCGAAAACACACGTGACTATCCATCACGATCGAAACGAGATACTCGAATGGAGTCCGAAAGTATGACGTTATGCTAACGCAAAGACAAATAATTGATGATTCATCGATTGGGCTACTCTTGCTGGGAGGAGGCCTAGAAAATTTATATCAAATATCCCTCAGTCTTAGAAAGTGATTTTTTTTCCTTTATTCGTGAATAATTCTACACTTGCTAAGTTCTTGCTTCAATGTCTATAGCCAGAAGGAGAACCGTATTTGCCGGTGAACAGCTCGGATTACGAACCTTTAATGCGTTAGGCTTATCTAGACGCAATTACATTTAGTTTAGCCCAAGTCTATCGATCAATGCAGAACTGAACTAGCATGTTAGAGCTTCCAAATATAACGTGTATTAAATTGCTATGTGAAGAAGAAAAAACGAGTGCAAAAAGAGCATACCTTTCGTTTCAGATACGAAATTCATAGATTGTCTGGAAAAATATTTTTTCGTAAGCAAAACAAAAAATAAATTTAACACCAATGACTTTCAACTTAATAGATTGTAACTAAAACATAAATTTTAACAGTAATAATATAGTGCCGCCTATTAATTAAAAAATATTTAGAGAAAGTTCGCTAAATTATGTTTTTATGAACAAAGATCGACAGAGAAATTTTAACTAGAAGGATTAACATGGAACTCTATCAAATTTTGTACGTAGATTGCCGTTATGCGAAATGTGATGCTCTACGGATGTCGTATTTGCAAATAAATAACCGGCTTCGATCATAATGACGGTCACGATCCACGAAGAAGTCGCGTCGGAACTGGCACCGTTCGTTCGTAACTTTCACCGAAAGTGCAATAAGCATGTCCTGTAAGACACACCGATGTATATGAGGCACCGTTTCATTATGTACAACCGTACTTGCTAGGGAGAGAATTTATCCGAGTGAAAAATACGTGGTACGACTCCTTTTTACGCTAGGTATCCTCTTTACGAAAGCTATAGAATCACCACCGAAAGAATATTTGAGCGTCGTACGTTACTTCTTTCGTGCAATCTTGCGCCCCTTCACGTTGCCTCGACGTTTCCCGCAATACACTAGTACCGATGCTGCTAACGATAAAAGTGATGGCAACGATGAACGATGATAATCGCGATGGCAAAGTGAACGCGCTTATCACACGCGAGCACGACGCGTCCGTTGAAACAATGTTGTTACTCTAAACTCACCGAATACCTATGCGATAATTCGTTTGCTCGTTCGGCACTGAATTGGCGTAATTCGAGGGGACTGGAGTGTCCTCTGCGAATCGCAGCGAATTTTTCTCGGACCCCACGAGGGAGTCGTACGGAGCGCACGTGAACACGATCCCGGGGTCCTGGTACGAATCGCAGCACCAGCTTGCTGCGGATCCGGGCGATCTGCTGCTGCACGACGAAACTCGACAACGAGGAGGAGGAGGAGGAGGACGACGACGACGACGATGCAGACGACAGGGGAGGTTGCAGGTGATTCCGTCGTGTGGACAAGCATCTGTGAAGCACGCGACGTCGTGCCCGCGACTCCACGGGCTACACGGCGCAGCCCTTCCTCGTACCGTACAGCACCTTCAGCTCAGGTATGATGATCTTTTTGATAAGCGCGTTCGTCTTGGCGGTGAGCATGTCGCGATGCGGGTCCTTCTTGAAGATCTTGATACCGGGCCGGTGCACCAGGAAGGCGTTGTCCAGAATAAGGAAGTCGTAATCGAGAACGCAGAGCGCGTAACCCTGTAAGCGTTCGCAAACGTTAATCTGATTGCCAATGAAATTACCAACAAAACAGACGATATCGAGAAATTTATTTTTAATTTCTCCAACGTCCACATTAGGTCGGATAATCGGGGTTCTACTGTCTTTTCTAATTATATTACTGCAGAGATATCAATGCTTATTTATGCAATTATTATTCTAAATTGTACGTTAGAAACTTGGCGTATCGTTATCTCTTCTTAGACCCGTTCCAAGTGGCGATCTTTACTTCTTGCGTCGCATTGACGTCTCGGGCATTTTGCGTGGACAAGTGCGATGCTCACCTGCGTCATTTTATCGCTCTTTCCCTCCCAACTGAGTCTTTCGTCGTAAAAAGGATCGTTATTGGTCCCGATGAAGATCGGCTCCCAGTGTACGAAACTGCCAGTCCTCTTGCCGACGTGAAACACGTGCAGGTCCTCCGTCTCTGGTGCCTCCTGCCATTCCTTGCTCTTCGGCACGTTATGGCAGCCGGAGCATAATTTCTTATGGAAGGGTATGGCGGTGCCCGTTTTCAGCATCTGTATCTGCAAATTCACACGACTCTTCAAAACGCAGTTTCGCAACGAGTTGTTCGGGAGGCACGCAAACAAATCTGTTTCCGTTCTAAAAATATCCGTCACGGATCACGAGTGTTTTGCGAGGATAAAAACGAATTGCCGGACGAATCAGATCTGCACGTGACGTTTCGACCTCTGACACGTCGCGTGCGTCCCCGTGCGTTTCCCAAAAGGAAAGAAAAAAAAACAGAAAGGATAAAAGAAATGCCACGCAGATGATCTGCATGCGCGTCCAGATTGCAATCGCTCTCTGTTGTGCCGCGCCAGTTCGAATACGAACGTGACAAAAGGTGCATTGTGCCGCGCAGTGCCGTGCGGTACGCACGCACGGCCGGCCGGACAATAGCGACGCTAATTCTACGTATCAAGGTCCACGGTCAAAGGAAGCTCCATTGATTCGCCGTCGACCCTCGCGCGTTCGCGCTATTAACGACACGACACAGTTGGACACACCGTCCGCCTCGTCGCGCTCTCTTTCGCGCGTGCTTAATTGCCCCCGACGGGACCGCGGCGCGGCGGCGATCGCGAGATCGCGAACGTACCAGGCGCGTCTTATTGTTAGGCGGCTGGTTCTTCTCGTCCACCTCGAAGATGGACAGCACGAAGACCTTGGGATTCGGCTTGTAGAGAGCCGGCTGGTCCCGCCTGCGGATCATCTCGAGGAACTTGACGGGCAGGTTCGGGCTGGGATACAGCTCGATGTCGCTGGGGAACACGTAGAGGGTGGGCGCGGACTCGCGCGCTATGTTGCGGCCCACGTTCACCGGGTACAGCAGCTTCTTCTCGTTCTTGTACATCTTCGCGAAGCTGACGTTCACCCACGGCGCCCCGAGCGTGCAGTTGTACGTGTCGGAGGCGATCTTCTCCGACGGCGGTATCTGCGACAGGATCGAAAATCGAGCATTTCAAAAGGGTACGACGAGAAGCCTTCAGGTTCGAGCTCGACAGTTTCGCAAAATTATTACGCGATCGGGTAAAAAGCCTTTCCGCCCTTTCGTATCTCTTGATATGTTTCAGTATCGTCGGTTGTCATTAGATTGCGAGACGCGCCGGAGAGAGAATATTGTACTTCGTTAACACATCCTCGAGGGAAGGAATTTAATCGCCGGCGAACGACGGGATATTCATGTATGCGGGACAAGTGGTTTCCGATTGTAATCGCGATTACGTTGGAGACTCGTTTGCGGAACGCGAGCCACGCGAGCTTCGTTCCTCGCGAGCGAAGCCGCGCGCGGAAACCGCGGTGCTGTTTCACCGGATATCTATACGCGCGTATTCGCCCGGCCCGTGGTACTCGTTGCAACGCAAATAGACAGCTGTAACAGCGATGAACAATCCCAGTTCGTGGTACGAGCTAAATACCCGTCGCGGACGAATTGCATATGCATAAGGCGGATTCGTGCACGCACCGCGTTCGAGAAGCGCAAATTATGCAAGAGAGCGCGTCTGATATCGAATCTCCAATTCATTTGTCGTAGCTCTTGGCATTACACGGGCAGAGTGACTCGTTGATGTTCCCCGTGAAATGACCATCAACCGCAGAAAATGATATCGAAAAAAACAGATAAATCCCGTTTTATCCGATAAGGAAAGATAAAAAGGAAAATGTGTAGAAGTCTCGCGCGTTCAGCGTGAGCAAATATTCATGCAAATTCGCGAGCGTGCAGTTGTAAAATTAATAATTGTTTCGCGCGTAACAAGTTGCGCGTTAATATCGCAGGCTGTATCGTCATTCTTCTGAGATTCTAAATACGGAATATCGATAAAGTCAGCGTGTCGTATTAGCATACTTGATACTCGCAAGGCGATTAGACTCAGGACTGCGCCGGCAAGGATTTGGTGAATTCGCGCGGCGCATTCGGTAACGGGCCGAAGGCGATTAACAGGAGCGAACGCGCATTCGTTACATCGAGTCGGGACTTGGCCAGATCTACTCGGCGCGGCGTCTGGAGCTCGGGGAGGGACTTCGTGGGATAAATCTCCAGGGCCGTCCATTTACCGCTTTTGGCACGTGTTTGCTGCTGAAGAAGACGTGAAAGGTCACCAGCTGCGAGACCAGGGGGCTGCCGCAGTTCCTCGAGTACCTGATGGCGTCGAGGGTCGCCGGGAAGTCGGTGCCGGGTGCGTGCATGGCGATCGATATCGGCGCCCGCCAGCGCTCCAGCAGCGGCTCCAGATTGTCGAGGAACGTGTAGTCGGCGTGCGTGGTGTATGTCACGCTCTCCCAGCATCTCACCGCCATGCTCATCGGCACGTAATTGTACAGCACCCAGTAGTCGCCGCGCTGCGCCCGCCTCGGCTCGGTCGACTTCTCGTTGCAGGGCACGGCCTCCCTCAGGCTCATCGGTTCGCGCGCGACGCTCGTCGTGCCGTTCCTCATCTAGACGAGGACGAAAGAGAGGGAGAGAGTCGGTTTAATCGTCGTTCGAGGGAGAAATTTGCATGGAAAGCGGCGGAAATACCGCGAATAGCGGCGGTGGCGATCGCCTACAAGCGCCTGAATTCCTCTACAACATCCCGACGCGTCTCGAGCCGATATCCGCCTCTTACTACGAGTTTAGGTACAGAGCAGCGATAACATATCTCGTTGGTACCGCACGAGACCCAATGAGACAACTTCAATCTTTATCATTATTATTAATGCAAATTAATAACGATGCATGACGTATCTATCCATTTCCATTAATTAGCGGTTGCATCAGCTCCATCATCAAATAACCGCGTCTAGCAATTGGACAAGCTGCGCACGATGATTAACTAAATGTCAGCAGCCACTCGAGAGTCGAAAGGATTAAAGGGATCAGAGAGAAGCGAGAAGACAAGGAAAGACGGAAGGAATGAATACCGTCTGATTACGCGGATGCTCCTGCGGCTTGTCGAGGACCTCGGCCTTGGCCCCGTTCGGAGGCGTCGTGGTGACGAGACTGATCCCGAGTGGACGGCCGGCGCCGTTGTTTGTCGACGCCACATTATTGGCGGCGGCGCCGACGACTGACGATGACGAGGAAGACGATGCGGCGGCGGCGGCGGCGACGGCGGCGGCCACGGCTGCGGCGCCCTTCTGGGTGCCGTTGACGAGGTCGTTGAGGGCGCCGTAGGTATCCGACTGGAGCGGCGCCGCCGCCGCCCAGTTGGTCGGCGGTTCCTCGATCCACGGCCCGGACGAGCCGATGTGGGCGCACACGTACAGCAGCACGCACACGTTCAGCACCACCGACAGGCGCAGCGCCCAGTTCCTGCGGGCGATGGCCGCGATGCTCATCCTCCAGGTCCGATCGCGGCGACGAGGAGAGGCGAAGAGCCAGGAGGGAGGATCCAGAGAAAGGGGAGCTCGCCGGTCGACGACGATGTCCCGCGTTCGCTATCGATACTCGGGTCGGCGATTCGCTTGCTGGCGTCGGCCCGCCGCGTCCATCCCTTCGCGACCCACGACTGGTCGGCGATCAGGACCTGCTCATGGTCCCCCGGAGGCTGGTCGGCTCGGTTGCGTGCGGCACCTGAAACGCCAGTGGAAGGAGACTTTTGAAATACGGAGGTCACTATAAACCGCGTCGAGAGTTATTCCGTAACTCGGCGCACACACGCGAGTGCATGCACTCTACTTATGCGCTCATTAGGCGACTTGAATAGCCTTAGGATGCGGGTAAACACCTGTACTATTGGCATCCACGTTCTAACTAAAAGTCTGTTCTTTGCAGCTGACCTGACTGCACCAGTTCAGAACTCATCTTTCTACCGCCACATTAGAAGGAGAAAGATAAACCGTGAACCGGTGCAGCTAGTTCAGCCAGAAAGATCGGACCCTATGAATTCTGAGCGAGGGGTAAACCGACCACGATCATGTGCACCAATGCCTACTAATGCCCCAGCAAGGCCTACTGCCCAAACTAACAATTTAAAAATTAGTTTAAAGAATTAAATTTCTTTAAACCTCTGCTCGGTAAGCCTTAATTAAGGATAGAGATTAATATTTTGAAAGGGCCTGGTTATGTTTTCTTATGAGATCCTGATAATATTTCTTTATAAGGCCTCAATAATATTTCCTTACAAGGTTCTTATAAACTAGGTATTTGTTATAAGCTTTTCAGGGGCTTGATCATTCACACGTATTAGGACTCGATTAATATTAAGGAAGATTGTTCAGGACCTTTTCACAGCCTTATTAATGTTTTACTCGGGACACCCTCAGCGGTTCACGCCTCGATTCTGAGTTTTCGAAAGCAAAGCTCGAGCCATCGAATCTCGTCTCGATTCCGTATCCCAATTCTCCCCGAGGAGGCGATCGAGCGTTTAAAAAATCCTTCGTAGGCGAACTTCCCTCCCGTTATACATGCACTTACACAACAGTTGTAATAACGTAGCGCGTATTATGTAATATTTAATTAACGCGTATAGGCTGATGCCACGTGCGAAAACGCGCCAGCGCTTTTATATCGCGGCTTTAAACGCCGCGGCGGAGCAACCTCCGCTGCAAGCAAGTGCGCGGAGGTTGCTCCGCCCCGCTTCGGCAGCGGCAGCTGCGATATCTCTCGTTGGATCCGCATCTCGTTTATCTCACGATCCAGTTTATAGCGCGTGCTGCGCCGGCGAGGACGACTTTCCCCCCTGTTCTCGCGTCCCCTCTCGCCGTTGACGTCGAGCGTGTCGCAAGCCCCGGGGTAACGCGACACACTATCAGACCCGGGCGGTCCGAGAGTTGAGCAATCGCGGATTCCCGGCCGCCGGCGGGACCGCGTGGATCCCGCTCGCCGCAGCGAGCGAGCGGCGAGCGAAATCGAGAGGGGAACACGACATGACAGTTATTATCCGAAAGACGGAAAGAGCGACTAATAAGAAATCGTCGGCCTCCTCCTCGTGACCGATCTTGCGTCAACTTCTCTCTCCCCCTCCCTCCTTTCACCCCCCCGGCAATCAACGGGACTCACGAGTCACCGGCGATAATTCGACGGCGACTTTCACGCGGGAAGACGAGCGCCTCTTCCCCGCGAGCGAGTTTTCCGCTTGATTTTCCCCCTCAAAGGGAACTCCGAGGCGCTCTTCCGCGACCGAGCCTCGAGAATTCGCCTCCTCTCTTTTTTTTTTGCCTCTCCTTTTAACTTTTAATATTTTAATAAATTTTATACGATTTTATACGAAGGCCCGCGGGAAGTAAGTATACAGCGCCGAGAAGTGAGACGTCGAAGATTGATTTCGCATTGACCGGGGAGACTTCGATTAAAAAGTAATACCGCGCGCAACTGGGTCACCCCGCCGTAATGCGGAGGCAAACGCCTGAAAATGAAAAGCGACGGGAAACAAGGCTTTGAAACTACTTTGAGTAGGAAAACATTGTAACAGTATTTCGTGCCGCGCGGGAATAATTTACGGCATGCGATATTCGACCGTTATAACATAGGCGTGCTTCGATCTTGGTGCTGGAATTATCGGCGCGGGCATTGGGAAATTACGTGATGCGCGCGCGATTTCTGCTTGCAAAATGTACTCACGTGACTTGAGAAAGACGCAGAGGCGTGTAATAAACGTCTCCTGCGCCTTTTGTGTTTGCCGACACGTAGTACCTATACAGCCGTATTATCGACTCGCACTCGAAACGTTTACTTACGTCAGTCGTTACAGCGCCATGAGATTGATCGATCTCAAAGCAGTGGAAAAGGAAACAAATAGAATGACAATTAGCGGTGTTATCGGTATCGTTTCGGCCAATGATTTTATGCCGCTTACACGCGTCGCCGCGCAAATGTTGGAGCGGTACAAGATACGATGCGCGATGGAAGGCGATACACGGCTTTGCGGCTTTAACTTTTTCGCACAATGCGTAGCCGGTGCTCGGGTAGAAGTGATTTCCGATGTAGGACCGTCGCGCGTCGCTCGCGATAAGAGCTCGATGCTCGATTCGACGGCCATGGTCGATACGAATGCTCGGTTAACTGCCAATTGTGATCGCGAGCGATCGGCAAAAGTTTGCGAAACGCCTGTGGAAAATAAGTAATCTAGCATGAAGATCTGATAGAAAATTTTACATGACATAAATAGCTAGATCAAGTAAAAGCGGGTTATTCAAGCGACGGAGATATAGATTACTTAATCGTAATACGCAATCTCTTATCATTATTTGCCTATGATAGTGAAAATTCTATTAGCTTTTACGGAATAGCTGCAAGTTGACCAACAACACGGTTCTCAAAGCTAGAACTGGACCGAGTTCTAGCACCGTGGACACAGGCCTTTTGACGTACAAAACTCACTCGCGTCTATTTCTACCAATATTGATTAACTTTAATCTTGGTTTTACGCACTTTCATCTTTTCCGAATTTTTAGAACTAGAAAGAGATAAAAAGTAAGCTAAGTCGAGAGTAATTAAGTTAGTCCACATTGGTATAGAAATGGCTATTGGGCAAATAACGTGTCGACAATCGCGCCGAACATCGAGCGGTAATAGTAAAGATACGAAATGATTTTAGCAGGGGGGGTCGCGGGACGACGGGAAGGAGCGAAATCCGCGAGAGCCCCCGATTTCATCGTCGAAACGACAGATTTTTAATTATCGACTTTCCTCAAAGAGTCGGCCATCCGTTCGCCATCGATCGCAGGGGGGAAAACTCATCAACGGCCGGGCATGGGAGTTCTTTGATCGCGCACGGGAACGCAAACACGATCGCTATTTTTATAAACGCGAACACGGGAACGCGCCGTTCCCCACCTGTCGTGCAATCCTTCCGTAAAGCTCGCGCTTATGTGCGGAAGGTGCATTCGTGATAACGGATCGCGCCGTTATCTCGCGGAAATTTCACCCGATTCTTTCCGCGCGCCCCAACGTGGAAACGAGCAGCCCCCCCTTGGAACTTTTCTGTTGTATAAACTGCGCGAATTTTAACGCACCGACAGCCGCGATTTTCCGCCGCCGCTTATCGGATCGCCTTGCGCACAACGTTGGGACTTAGTTATCTCCAATTATAACTTTAGATACGTATGCGTGTAACGTATAATTAGACGGCGTGAGGAAAAAGTATGGAAGTAAATATCTCGGAAACTACGCGTTTTAGTGGTTAACAATTAGCCAGAGGTCAGTCAATTCTGCATCTTTTTCTATGTTATTATCTGAGAAGAGACAGAGAGTAGATTAATCTCTGGTTAACAGTTAACAAGAAAATGAAAACTCGGATCTAAGAGAGAGGTAAAGTAAAAGTTAACAGTTACCGATAAAATGTAACTAAATTCAGTTAAAAGTTAACAGTCTATAATGTAACTAAATTAAGTTAAAATTATTTAACTTTTTAACTAAACTTTTATCTTTTTCACTAGACACTTACCCAACCCCTGGTTATAAGTATACAAGGTGCTATGTAATACCCGCCTCACCTATTATTTTTCGATAGAGCGAACTAGACTGAGTCGAAAGCTCCTCTACTATTTTGCAATTTTCGCAGTAGTTAACGAGTTATTAATTATTAAAAATTAATTATTAAAAATCGCTGTCTTAGCCCGGTCTACCGCCCAATTCAATCGCACGGCGAGATGCGGCCGTCCCACGATTGGCGTTGCTACTCTGGGAAAAAAAAGTCAGTTACAACCCATTTTGGGACCCACAATTAGTAATCGAATTATTTAGATTGTTCGTAACTCTAATCTTTTACGAATTTTATCTCGCGTAACTAAAAATCACAATTAGCCGTTCTATCTATATCCAAGATATTAGAGTAATACTAATCGATTCTCTCAATTAGTTCTGTCGATATTCAGTAACGCAAAGATAATTTTCACTTAAGTGGCAATAACCGAAATGTTAAGTTGCTTAACTACATCAAAAAACGGTCAAAATTTTTCCCAGAGTAGAGTTGCGAACAATCCAAATAATTCGATTACTAATGGTGGGCCCCAAAATGGATTATAACTGTCTTTTTTTTCCCAGAGTAGGCGCGCAGAGATTTGTTTATTATACGTAACCGTAGCAGGGTGTCATAAACAACTCCCCGCGCGCCTAGCAACGCCAATCGTGGGACGGCCGCATCTCGCCGCGCGTTCGAATTGGGCGGTAGGCCGAGCTAAGACAGCGATTTTTACTAATTAATAATCCGTTAACTTTCGCAAAAATTGCAAAATGTAGAGGACCTTTCGACTCAGTCCGCTCTAGATTCGAAAACAAGAGGTGAGGCGGGTATTACATAACACCCTGTGAAACACTGAATAATTCAGTAAATATCGGTGAATGTTCGCCGTTTTCAGTGACAATCCACTGATTGACTTTTAGAGAGCATAGTATATTTTATTTATAATATTATACGCATATTTCAAAGCATTTCAAAGCACAGCGTCTAAAAATAAGAAATGATAAAAAAGAACAACGAAACGATAACGATCGTCACGCGACTTGTGCAACGTTCAAAGTGATTGAAAAACCAGCTTGCCAACAGCTGGCAACTGATACTAATACTTTTTAATGATTCTTGCGCGACAGCTTATGTAATTACATTATCAAATGCTTACTCTTGCAGACAG